GTTACCCAGATACCAAATCAAAAAAACAAAATAATAAGAAAAGTAAATATCAATATCTCTTATGAATATAGACACAAAAATCTTAACAAAATACTAACACTGAATATATCAACATAAAAATATTATACACCAGGACCACATGAGATTTATCCTACAATTGCAAAGTTGGTTTAACATCTGATAATCAATTAAAATAGGGCATGGATAAAAGAAATTGAAGAAGACACAAGTTAATGGAAAGACATTCTGTGTTCATGGATTCGAAGAATTAATATTATTAAAATGTCCATACTAACCAAAGTAATCTATAGAATCAGTGCAATTTCTATCAAAATTCCAATGGTACTTTTCATAAAAATGGAAAACAAAAATCCTAAAATTTGTATGGAACCACAAAAGACCCAAAATACCAAAGTAATCTGGAGACAGAAGAACAAAGCTAGAAGCATCACACGCCCTGATTTCAAACTACATTACGAAGCCACAGAATCAAACATTATGGTACTAGAATAAAAACAGACACATAGACCAATGGAACATAATAGAGAGCCCAGAAATAAACCCATGCATGTCTGGCCAACTAATATTAGACAAGGGTGCCAAGAATACACAATGGGAAAAGGACAAGTCTCTTCGATACGTGGTGTTGGGAAAACTGTATTATCTACATGCAAAAGAGTGAAATTGGACCCTTGTCATGTCCAAAAATTAACTTGAAATGGATTAAAGACTTAAATGTAAGATCTGAACCCATAAAACTCCTAGAGGAAAATGTCAGGAAAAGCTCCTTGAAATTGATCTTGGCAATGATTTTTTGGATGTTATACCAAAAGCACAGACTTTTGCAAAAATGAATAAGTAGGACTATGTCAAACTAAAAAGTTTCTACCCGGCAAAGGAAACAGTCAACAAAATGAAAAGGCAACCCACAGAATGGAAGAAAATATTTGCAAACCATGTATTTAATAAGGGGTTAATATCCAAAATACTTAAGGAACTCATATAAATCAATAGCAAAAAAAATAATAATAATAACCTGATTTTAAAAATGGGCAAAGGACCTGAATAGACATTTTTCCAAAGAAGATATACAGATGGCCAACAGGTATATTAAAAGGTGCTCAACATCACTAATCATCAGGAAAATGCAAATCAAAACCACAATGAGATATCACCCCACACCTGTTAGGACGGCTATTATCAAAAGGACAAGGGACAACAAGTACTGGTGAGGGCATGGAAAAAAGACAACACTTGTACACTTTTGGTGGGAATGCAAATCACAGCAGCCATTATGGAAAACAGTATGGAATTCCTAAAAAAATTAAAAATAGAACTACTATACAGTAATTTCACTTCTGAGTACATATCTGAAAGAATGAAATCAGTAAGTCAAAGAGATATCTGCACTCTCATGCTCATTACAGCATTATTCACAATAGCCGAGACATGGAAACAACCTAAACGTCCATCAATGCATGAATAAAGAAAATGTGGTATGTGTATTTATGCAATGGGATATTTTTCGGCCATAACAAAGAAGCAAATCCCGCCATTTTGCAAAATCTAAATGAACCTGGAGGACATTACGCTAAATGAAATAAGCCAGATACAGAAAAACAAATACTGTATGATCTCATGCGTGAAATCTAAAAAGTCAAACTCATAGAAACATAGAGTAGAACAGTAGTTACCAGGGGCTAGGTGGTGGGGAAATGGGGAAAATGTTGGCCAAAGGGTACAAACTTTCAGTTGTAAGTTGAATAAGTTCTGGGGATCTAATGTACAGCATGGTGACCATACTTTATAATACTGTATTGTTACTGAAATTTGATAAGACAGCAGATTTTAGGTGCCCCCACTCCCCCTCACACATACATACAAATGATAACTGTAGGTGTGGATATGTAATTAATCTGACTATGGCAATCAGTTCACTATCTCTCTCTCTCTCTCAAATCATCAGGTTTTATACCTTGTATTATTGTCAATTAAATATTTTAAAATAAAAAACTCATAACAACTTACAAAAAAGAAAATCGAAGCAATACTGCATATTCATATAGGAGAAAATTGCATAATATCTCAATTGATACATAAAAAATTTTGATAAGATTCAATATCCTTTCATGATAAAAGCGCTAAAAAAGACAAATAAATGATGATAAAAGGCATCTGTGAAAAACCCATGGCTAGCATCACACTTAATAATGAAAGACTGGGTGCTCACCTCTTAACTCAGGAACAAGACACAAAAATGGCTGCTTTTGCCATTCCTATTTGACCTGGCACTGAAGTTCTAACCAGGGAAATTATGGAAGAAAAAGAAAGAAAAGGCGAAGAGGTGAAGAGGTGAAACTATCTCTATTTGCACATAACATGATCTTGCATATAGGGAATAAACACACATACACACACACACACACACACACACACACACACAAACCATTAGAACTAATAAACAAGTTCAGCAAGTTTGCAGAGTACAAAATGAATATACAAAAAGTCAAGTGTTTTTCTATACACAAGCAATGGACAATCTCAAAATGAACTAAGAAAACAATTCCATTTACAATAGCATCAAAAAGAATAAAATATTTGGGAATAAATTTAACAAAAGGGGAGCAGTGCACTGAAAACTTCAAAACATTGTTGAAATAAATTATAAAAGATTTAAATAAATTGAAATGTAGTCCATGTTCATGGATCAGAAGATTTAATATTGTTAAGATGGCAATACTCCCCAAATTCATCTGCTGCATCAACTCAATCCCTACCAAAATCCCAGCTTTCTCTTTTGCTGAAATTGACAAACTGATCCATTATATTATCTAGAATTTTAAAGGATCCAGAATAGCCAAAACAATCTCAAAATATAAAGAACACCTTTGGTGGATCAACACTTCCCAATTTCAAACTTTATTATAAAGCTGCAGTAATCAAGACAATATGGCACTGCATAGCGTGTACATATAGATCAATGGGCTGAAATTGAAAGTCAACAAATAAACCCTTACATTTATGGTGAATTAATTTTTAATAAGGTATCAAGACAACTCAACGGGAAAAGAACAGCCATTTCAGCAGACGATGCATTGACAATGGATATTGACATACAACAAAATGAATTTGAACTCCTATATCATGGCACATGTAAAAATTAAATCAAAATGGATCACATTAATAGATGTAAATGAAGAGCTAAAACTATTAAGAAGAAAACATGGAAGTAAAACTTTGTGGTCTTATCACAGGCAATAGTTCTTAGACATGACACCAAAATCACAAGTCACAAAAGAAAATGTATGTATTTAATATATTGCATTTAATCAAAATTAAAAA